ATTGCCAAGGTCCCTGTGGATCATTCTGCGCTGCTGCGCTGCCAGCCCCATCAGGTTCAGCGACTTGAACTGAACTCGGTCAACTCGACAACGCGAAAATGCTTCAACGGCTTCTGATGCCGCCAGAAGCCGGGCCCTCAAATTTTTCACATTTTCATCAATCTTCGCCAACATCTCAGCATGCACCTGTGTGGCTGCGACCAATGGAGTGCCGGTAATGGCCAACGTAAAAAGATCATTCTGTCGCACACATGCTTCAATACAATCCAGTAGACTCTTAATTGTCTCATCCGAGCGCTCCAGCAGCAACTCTTCACCCGAACGAGATGTTTTCACTGTGCTGACAGAGGGCGTTGGCTCTTCTTCCACACCTCGCTTCTTAATGCCAGTGAAAAGAAGCGACTGCTTTGGATCCACCACGCTTGCAGCAGGCACCCGGACAGCCCCGGTCACAACCGGTTGACTCCCTTGGGTACTTGCCGCAGCTCCAGCAGAAACACTCACAGTACTTGCTGCGGCTCCAGCAGAGACACACTTGGCGACTCTTCCTCAAACCAAGGGTCTTCGCCAGGTGCCAAAGGGCTTGAAGACGTCTGGACAGCTCCAGTCGAAACCGGTTGAGTCCCATGACCTTCCTGCCCCCGCACCGGACATCCAGCCCAATGTGTGCTGTGCCAGCGGAGCGTGCAATTCATACGGACATGCTTGGCTTCTGGCGCAGCACCTTCATGCAAAGCAATTTCCTGCTGCAGCCCAACTTTCTCCCACTCTTGCATTGTAGTGAACATAGGAAGCAACTTCAAATCTTTCCAAGTGGAGCGCGCCGGCACACCATGGCAAAACTCTGCTTGGAAGTCTCCTGCCATCACCAAAGCGTCACCGCCTTCTTGGAACAACATCCTTGTCACTGGACCTTTTTTGGGGCCCAAGGTCAACACCCCCATGCCCAAAGGAAAAGGACGTGATCGGATCAACATTGCTGTAGGTGGCAGACTCATCTGAATGAGGGCTGATTCCATGATTTTTGTTGTGATCATTCCAGTTCCACAACACCTGCCACGACTTGTCAAGCCAAGTGGGACGCAGGTCTCGATTCTGAAAAGCTTCATAGTTCTTCATCAATGTGGCGTCCCATAATTTCTCAAATCTGCTTCCAGCTTTCCACATGGCCGATGAAGTTGGCACGTGTTTCTGGTGAGCGTCAGCTCCAAAGATGGAGCGGCACAGACACGGAGCACGCGTCACCTGCGCACTCCAGTAGTACACAGTCCATCCGTCAGCTTTCAGCATCTGCTGGGATTTCGTTGGACGAGCATTGTTGTTGCGAACATTTTCTTCCCACTGTTGAATCTCTTCCAGCTGTGGCGCAATGAAATCTCCAATCTCGAAGAAGGGCCTTCCCTCAGCACAAGCGCCTTTGGCGAATAGCAAGAAGGATTTGTTCGATCTATGCGGCAATCTCTCTGCATAGTTCTCAAAGGCAACGTCTACACCAAACAAAAGCTGCGCAAATTTCACAGTGTCATCCCAACTCGTGACACCAAATGGCCATGATCTCTTTGCCATGGCTCTTGAAACACCAGACCTTCCCGGTCAAAACCAGTTCAGTCCCAATGTGTTCAAACTTCCCAAGTGCAAAAAGACAGTGTCCGTCTTGCAGTGTCAAGCTACACCTAAATATCTATATAGTATGTAACCTCTCCAATCTGTCTCAATGAAACATTTCGAAGAGATACACCTACTACATTTATATTCTCAAGCGTTTCATGTCCCTATCCTTTGAGCACTATTATCTTATTCACGTTTCTGCTTGTGCTTGAGCTCGCGCCGGCTGTTGCGCAGGGTGTCAAAGCACAAGCTGCTTTCCAAATCACTTATCCAACACTTTTGAAAGCAGCCACTGGCCAATGTGCTTACTTCCACTCAAACTCCTCGCCTGCGCAGCACTCGCAGATTGGTCACCCTCTGCCATCACCTGCCAAGCAAACAAAAACACGCAAGAAGACACTACTGATCACACAACCTCCTCCTGCTGAATTCTTCTATGATGATGTCCATCCTGCCTCTGGCCCGCGATCGAGTAGATGAGGGCTCAAATGCTCCAACAAATGTTCCGATGGCACATATCCACCATGCCACCATAGCTGTGATACACAACAGAAACCCTGTGTGATGTTGACTGTCTCAAGCATCAATCCAGCATGAGATCACTTCAAGTAATTTGTAGTAACTTGCTGTAAGATGTTGCCTGTCTCAAGCGTCTTTGCAAACAGCTCCAAAGGTACAGAAGTGGAAATGTCTCTGTCCACCCCAGTGACTCTGTCATCTGTTCAAACTGATTGCTTCAAACTTTGCCACCTGCAAAGGAAGAAGTGGCATTGCCCCGGTCACTCTACCACACACGCGCGAGTTTGCAAGTAATATATAACATACTTGTCTGACATTCTTTCTAACTTTCTTCTGCACATTCTTTGTCCCATATCTTCCTACATGAGGTCCGGCAGGGAACACTTGGCATGGATACCCGCGGTTGAGGTCCGGCAGGGAACACTGGCACGGATGGTCGTGGTTGAGGTCCGGCAGGGAACACTGGGCGTGGATGGTCGTGGTTGAGGTCCGGCAGGGAACACTGGGCGTGGATGGTCGTGGTTGAGGTCCGACAGAGAACACTGTGCGTCGAGGGTCGCGGTTGAGCAGGAGGAGGAGGAGAGGAGAGGAGGAGAGGAGCAGGCAACTGACATAAAATCTAACAACCCTCACCTGGCAGGTGGGGAAAAAGCTGCTCTCAACCCTTCAGACCCCCACTGGGTCCTAGCGGGTTCACTCCTTTATGACCTGCTTCCTGCAGATCTTGCCGTCATTGCCGAAGGCTCTTTGCTGAACAAAGTCTTTCCCTCCAAGAAGGACTACCAAGCCAATTTGAAACTTGGTCTACATCAGTGGACGAAGCGGAATGGTCTCCCGTCCATACCGTCCCAAGACATCCTTGACCTCACACAACTCCTTTGGCAACAACACATTCAGGAGGTCACATGTCACATCACCAAATCGTCTATCACCCACCTTCCAACGCCTGTTTGAAGGCGCCATCTTCCATTGTGAAGACAAACAAGCTTCTTCACTCAGAATTTACTGTCCCTGCCTCTACTATCAAGCGATCGAAACTACCTTCATGGACCCTTCCATTTTTGAACCTGTCAATCAAGAACCCTCCGCGATTGTCAACGCACTCGTCTCGCAGCTGACCAAGCAATATGGTAAGTCCTATCCTTGGGCCACCGGCAAAGGTCGCCAACCTCCAGCGGGATACATCTTGGTCAAGAAGACGAAAGCATTCCAAAGCGGCCGTCCCATCATATCCTTTGTGGATTCCCCTTTTCGGCCTATGCCAAACATCCTTGCGAGAATGATCTTCCAACTTATCCCAGTGGCCTGCCCAGACCACTTTGCTTCGGGAGATGTATATACTCTCTTGTCCATCTTGAGAGAAGCCCCTGTTGATGGAAATCTTATTCTCATCAACCAAGACCTGGCTGGCTTTTTCACCAGCATTGACCAGGCACGATTCATTGGGGCTTGGTACATGCTTCTGGATTTCCTGCGCCCTCATATGAGCGTTGCTGACAATGAAGTCTTCTCGGTCTACCCGGGAAAATCCAATAAGCCAAGAGATCTTTTCAAGGGTCGCACCTTCCGTCGACTCAACGTCGCCAGGAAGATTGTGATCAAAGATGTACCATCCCTGCTCAAGACGGCATTGAATATGCAAACCTTCGCTTGGGCCAACGTTGCATCCGACAACGTAGAGGCAGTCCTATGGGAAGTCCATTGTCTCCAGCACGTTGCCTCATGGTTGTATCCATCAGTGAGCAAATTTGGTCCATCAACTTCAAATAGGTTCTCTCCAACCATCACCTGTTCATCAAACATTTTCGATATGTTGACAACCGACTCATTTTTGGAGATGCTCGTCCCAAAGACTTGACACCATACGAGGTTCTACTTGATGAAGGTTTATGGAAAACTTATCATCCTGGAGACTGAACCCGACCAGCAGTTCCTTGGCTTCATGCTGGAAACACAACCGCTGGAGCTTATCTACAATGGACCCACCAACATCTCTCAGGTCCTATCACCATACTCAGCATCACCACCCAATGTTCTCCTCACTATTTTCGCTCCAGGTGCCACATCGTCGTCAAAGGCGCATTTCCAGAATACAGAGTCAGTCAAGACTTGGCCCAACTGATCCAGCTCTATACCATGGCTGGTTTTCCCAACGAAGAACTCACCCAAATTTCATCGCGAATTTTGGACCTCCATCAAGCGGAAAAATGCTGAACTCCCGCTGCCTTTCATGCTTGACCTTTTGCTTTCCTCTGTTGGGTTTTTTGTGTTGGTTTTCGCTCTTGTTTTTTGCGTCTCGGCCTTTTTGTTCCTGTTTCCTTTTCTTCACTTGTACCTATGTTCACTTCACTTGAGTTTCTGGCTCAAAATCGCTCCCATATTTCTGTGCCTGTGACGCCTGTGACAACAATGGAATCCTCCCATTGCCGTGAGATTCATTATCATCTTGCCCGAGCTCTCATGCACTTGAACTGCATTGCGGGTTTTCTCCCATTTTTGAACCAGCAGCGGACTGGGAGGATCATGAGGCAGACCTTTACCGTCGCGCCAGCCTCAGCTATCGCCATCTTCATACATTTGTACCACTTCCTTCCTCTCCGGCTATTCCTTCACTTGCATCACACGGAGGAATTCTTACCCATATGGTCCTCAATCCTGAACCCAATCTTCGTCCTTTATCCATTCGCCGAGGACCTTACCCTATTGAAGAGACCCGCCCAGCCAGTGCATCAAATGCCGCTTCGGCTCGTGCGGAATCATCCAATCCTGCCCGCTTACCAGCCGAATCTAGTGTCGGCACACCACACCGGTTGACATTGAACGGGAGTCACGCAGACCTTCCAAAACCACGGAACTGGGCCATCCCAGAAACAATGAAGCGGCAGCCCGTCCAAAGAAAAAGCAACGAAAACTTCAACTCCACTCCAGCTTTACCGATCATTCGTGATCTTCCTCCGGAGGCTCCAACGTCAGATGATTCTGACGTAGAACGACGTCGACGCCTTTCACCCTCGGACAATCGACCAGCACCTCCGGCAGCCGCTAATCCAAGTGCTCCTGTTACCGTCCCTCCAAGACCATCACCTTCCTTGGAACGTGCAGTGACAGTCTCTTCGCCAGCAGAAGCACCACCGAATCCTGTGGTGCCCCCACGATCTTCAGTCAACCATCACCTACGACCTTGGACAGGCGCTGAAGATCACGAGCTTGTCACTTTCAAAAGTGACGCACGGGCCAGACCCGCATGGAAGACAATTGGCTTCCGCCTCAAGCGGGATCCGGAAGCCTGTAAAGCATGTTGGCTAGTGCTGAGACAGAACATGCCCGGGCTTAATCCCCGCACCGAACCGGAAGCGGAAGGAAGCGGAGGATTAATCAACTCAGCGGAACAAGAAGCAAAACAACCTGCATCGTTTTCTTGTCATGTTCCTTCTTTTTCATTGTTCACCCCACTTGTCAAGCTGAATGTCCTTTTTGCCTTGTTTTTGTCCTTTCCAGCCTGGCTCAATTTCCTAATGTATCTTATACGCCAGGGTCCGCGATCGTTCCCGTTCCCGTGATGATGACTATCGTCCGATGTGGGGCAATGCTAACCCTGACCGCCCTCATGACCCTAGTCGAAGGTGGAACTGCACACCGGCTCTTCGCCGAATCCGGAGAGTTCTCATCCTTGTGGACATTACTCAAACCCAACAACTAGTGGAAGAATAATTCTCAGCTGCAATGTCCGTCACATCCTGTGAACACCTATTTGCTCTTCAGGTGCTCGAAGATCAGATTATCTGATCTTCGAGCACCTGAAGAGATGGCACTGTTCACTTATGCTACTTATGCTCGACTCCTGAACCCAAGCCAAATCCAGACCACATCAGTTGGTGATCTTTTGTACAATATCAGCCAATACATCTTTAATACATGGGGTGTCACCATTGACGCTGACACCATGGACCTTCGCTGGAGTGACCAAACAGGCGACACCTTTGCTCTTCGTCCTCAACACGTCATCAGCCGCCTTCTCCTTGAAAATCGTCCCAACTGGGCACAAGCCCAGGAAATAGGCATCTTCGGTAGCCCTGTAGCTTTCTCCAGCCCTACTCAACCATATATCATGCGGCTAAGCTGCCATAAGGCCTTGCCACCCAATCACCTTCCATAATCGCACGCAGTCGGAAAATAATTGCGCGACTGCTGACACTGCCTAGGATCGTGTTGGTTCCTTTTCACGTTGTTGTTTGTTGGTTATTCTTACACTTTTCGCCTCTGCCCTTTCAGCTCTCAGCATGACCAAACTCAATTCGTCCACGGCGAACTTGGCTTCCCCGCGTAACTTACGCATGGATTCTTGGTCATCCCCATTGAGCACCACCCGTCATCGCCCATCCTCCTCAGCGGCTGCCTCATCATCAGGACATGGGTGGCCATTCCCGGGCTCCCATGCGGCACCAGCAGCGGCCACTACCTCCACATATGGATATACGTCCGAGGTTGACAGGGGCCCAATGCCTCGAAACGATGACTCGTGGAACCCATATCCGTCTTATCATGTCCACAGTGAGATGCATCAAAACCAAAGGGTGCTTCATACCCAAATTAATATTCAAGCAAGTGACTGTGGGACAAGGTCCCAATGCCCAAAGACAGTTCACGGTCACAGAAATCGATGCCGAAGGCACCGAGAGATTGCGACGTCCAGAGTTCTTCTTCCATGGAATTGTTGGTCATGTGAAGGACATATGGGGCTATCGAATCAATGGATGGAAAGAGGCAGCACGCCTAGCCAACTACTGGCGCAGATACTTCGACATTGAGGAGATCCCTTACTCCTCACACTCAACTGAGCCGCATGAACACCTCAGCGTCCATGATGTATCTGACCCTCCACAAGGTGATGAACCACTAGAAGATGATGCGGGCGATACGTCCAGCATGGGACATTTGGGAGACCAAACGCCTTCGGTTCCTCAGCAAATCAGCCAGTTGGCCCACATCCTCTATGATGCTGAGCCAGGATCCTGAGTTCAATGCTCCGATCCTCGAGATGCTCCAGACCCAGTCAGAGAACCAGGGAGAGAGCAATTTACGGCTGTTTACAGCCAAAGAATTTTCTCATCTCAGCATCCACCTGGCGAAAACAACCAATATCCTAGCGAGACAAGCCAACCCGGATGAAAACCTCTCAGACATTTCTGATGAACTCGATCGCGAAATTCCGTGAGTACTGAGCCGGCTTGTGCGTAGGTAAGATCCCTTGATGTGTCAATTCATACCCTTGTCTCTGGCATTTTGATCAAGCGATCCGAGCCCAGAAGACCGAATCATAGCTTGCATTCGACTTCCAGGATGCATCTTCCAAAACAGCCCCGCGGCAGCGGGGTGTGTGTGTGTGTGCGTGTGAAACGTCTGGATAGATGTAAAACTTCTAACCGTCTTCGTTCATGTATTCACTTGGAGGTTTGGCTTTTCTTCCATTGAAAGGGTTTGAATTTCACTGCAGGGGGCACAGGCCCATTGTGGATACCTGTGCCAACGAAGCTATTCCACAATGGGGGAAGCGGAGATTGATCACCTCCGTGTACCTGCAATTTTCCAATTTGTTGTCAATGGCAACCGGCTAAGCCTAGAACCGGCATGTCGACCATCTGTTTTTCAGTTTTCAGTTTTCCAGTTGTCACAGCACCGTTGTCGCAATCTGTCAAGGTGGGAACGATTTGGCTTAGTTGGAGCGGAAGGGTCAGCTTCCAACTCATTTCATCTAGCTCTGGCTATGGCGATGGTAGCTTTTTGATACTTCTCGGGTCTTTTCACCGACCCATTCCTGTCTAGCAAATTTCTTTATTTGTCTTCTCTTGCTGGGACATATGTGCGCGCAACTATTTTATGTTGCCGGCGGAGTTACCACTACCAAGGACTAGAGAAGTAAGCGGTTAGATGTTTTTGACACGGCAAGGTCGCTATAAGATATAGAATTTATGGCATGCGAAAATTTCAATTTCTTTGCAACCACCATTTTGGACCCAGGTGACAGGCGACATAGATACATTTTGATTTTGAAGTTGTTGCTCAGCAAGTTGCTCACCCGAGACAGCGCACATATGAAAAATCCAACTGTGTTCAGTGTTCTGGAAGTTCTGGTGGTTCAAAATTCAAGGCATTGCTAGCCCAGGTGATTTACGTAAATCAGTGATTCATGTAACAGCCACATTGGGACCGGGAACCTCAACAACATTATGTTTTGTTGTTTTCCTCCTCATGCCGCCGTGCCGCAATGCCAGAGCTGTCTGGTGGTTAACCAGGAAGTTAGAAAAAAAGAGCCGCATGTCTTCCCAACCGAAGCCAAAGCCAAGGGTCAAACCACGTAAATGGGGTTTCAATAGTTCAATAATTCAATATTCAATGAAGGAATTGGGGCATTAAACCTCATTTTGAAACATTCCTAATTCCTAAATATATCTAATTCGGCATCAAACCTAATTTTGATAGATCCCCTGGATGATCCCCTGATCCCCTGATCATGATCCCCAAATTTGACACAAAACCAAGGGTCAAACTGTCAAACAGACAGTCAAACCATGCACACCTTACATTGGAAAGTGTTTACATTGTTCAGTTCATTGTTCGTTGTTCATTGTTCATTGTTCATTATTCATTCATTTTCATATACCACAGTTGGCAAGTTCACAGCACTCACAGCGACTCACAGTTTACAATTTCACAGCTTGACTGACAGGACCCTTGACTACTAACTTGACATGACAATGTCAAAAGTCAAAACTATCAGTTAATTTTTATTATAACGGCATATTTCCAGACAGATCACCCGTAGCGCTAGCAACTGACCATGTTCTCACTGCCATGATGGGGTCAGAACACCACCAAGTGGTGTGGTCGGCAAGCTTTAGTGACGGGAAGCGATGCGCTTCGGACCACAGGACGAAACGGGTGAACAAGGAAGCAGAGGCTGAACCATTTGATTTCGCTGCGCTGGCAGGGATTGACGCGGAAAGCCATGGCTTACTACCGCATGCATATTTCTGATTCTGGGCATGAAATTGTGGGTTTAGCTCTTTTGTCTCCTCGGGCTCAGCACCAAGCTTTGCTACCTCTGGATGACGAGATGCGCTCACTGCGCTCACAGCAAGTTTCTGGTGTTTGTTGAGTGGTAGCTCTTTGGATGGCCAGCTCTTTTAGTTCAAAGAATTTCAAAGCAGTGAAAGCTGAGGCTACCAGGTTTGGCGTGCCTTTTAACCAAGCACACACAGCGGGAGAACCACCTTTTTTCCATTTGGATTGGTTCTTGGGCTGAACGGAATTTCACGCCAACAATTCTTGGCACCACAGAGGACAGATTTCAGAGGCGGAAGCTGCACACCAATGGAGCAACCCCTACAGTACTTGCCTTAACCTTGAGGGCTACAAACCAGAAATGGTCAATGCTTGCAGTCGCAGTTCCTGATCCGTTGAAACAGATCGATTTAGTGGCAGCAGGATGGGACCTGGGACTCCAAGCATGTGATGGGAAGGGACACCACTCACGAGTTGCGTTTGCAGTTGGATCGGTCGGTGACATTTGCCGTTGCCCATTCAGTGACGTTTGATGTGGTGTCATCTTTGATTGAACCTTTGTTTCTTTGCCTTTCGCCCGCCCAATCAGCCGACACCAACCATAATACTTTTGGGTGTGTTGAGCGGCTTGAGCGGCTTGAGCGGCATTGGATGGCAACCTCCTTGAAGGACAGGACAGGGCAGGCTAGGATCAGCAGAGTTCATTCTTTAAGAGAATGAGCTCTGTTGATCCGGGGCTGCGCCTGGGCGAGAGCAGTGATTGGATCTTCATCCGGCATCCAGTCCAATCCCTCCCAAGGGACTGGATGGATGGATGCGGCTCGCATTCTCTCTGCCTTCAATGTGATTTGCACAGCAGCAATGGCCCTAAGTGCAGCAACAATCTCTTGATTTAGAAGTTGTATTCAGACTTCAGAGGTCACTTTTTGGACCCAATCACGTTCTGATTGATGGCTCGGGGGCTGAACTGTTTGTGCAAATTGATGTGGAGTGGCAGTGGGCAAGGGTACCAGGTCAGACTTTGTTCACTGTGGCTGTCGTGTCTGTAGACTGTATTGCCCAGCCTGTCCCCGATGCATCCAGTTGATAGAAGTTGGGGGCAAGTATGGACAGTCAGCTGCGACCTGCACGGTGGCAGTAGAGGTGACTGCATCCAGTTGGGTTTGCCGACCCCACCCTTGCAAAAGCTTTGGGATTGGACACCAGCGCCTGTCTCACATGGATTGTGCTTGAATCGCGGTACAGGTGCACGTTTGATCCGGTTTCTGGGTTTCCCATCATTCCCAGTCCTGTCCCATCCTGTGTCTTCCAACGTTGCTGCTCTGACTCTGACTCTGATTCTGACTTTCTGACAAAGAAGTGTTGCTGCTGCGCTGCTGCACTTGCAATATCTAGCTCATTTAGCTCAATGCTGGATTCCCCCATAGAACGTCTACATGTAGGATTGGGTTAGCTATAGCTGTCGGTCTCATGTGTGTCTTGCCCTAAAAATCATCATTCCACCCCATTCCATTCCATCCCATCCATCTGAACCTGAACCCTACTTCCGTTGGAACTTCATTACTTCAGTTTTTCATTCAATACAAATTACACTTGCAAATTGCAAATGGGTCTTTCTTGTTTGGGGGTGAATTGTCAACACTGTCACGGTCAACTGTCAACAGGCCAAAATTCCAACTAGACGACGGTTGGCCCGAGAGCGAAAAAGGTGTTTCCCAAGCAGCTCTGTGAGGATGGTAGTCGTAAAAGATAGTCGGTGAATAGTTGGTGAATTTTGCATGAGCTATGGAAGGATATGGTGTGAAAAAGGTAAGATTGATCAAGAAGAGAATATTTGGTAAGGGCATCAGATGACATATGTGTCTTGCAACCACAGAGAGAAAGAGGGGGGAGAGAGCGAGAGAGAGAAAGAGAGAGAGAGAGAGAAAGAGAGAGAGAGAGAGAGAAAGAGAGAGAGAGAGAGAAAGCAAGAGAGAGAGAGAGAGAATGAAAGGGGGGGGTAGAAAGAAAACATGGAGGAATGTAATATGAGCAACAAAAGTGCACAGGAGGCTCGGTACCATGAGTCTGCGAATGACATGTGTTATCTCATTTTATTATGGTAATTCCCACACACATTGCGGAAAAAGGCTCGGCACCATCATTCTGTGAACGCGAAGAAACGCGACGCTTTTATACAGAGACGCTTTTACACACAGAAGCTTTTACACACAGACACTTTTACACACAGACTCCTCACAAAGACGTTTACACACAGAAACTTTCACACACAGAAACTCCTTTACACACAAATACTTTCACATATAAAAACCGGACCCGTGAAATCGCAATTTTTCCTCAGTTTTTGACGTCTAACGTCCATTTTGTGCGAAAGGGTTGCGATGGATACTTCAAAATCACAATTTTTCCTCAGTTTTTGACGTCCAACGTCCATTTCGTGCGAAAGGGTTGCGCGCGACACCTCAAACTCGCAATTTTTCTTCAATTTTTGACGTCCAACGTCCATTTCGTGCGAAAGGGTTGCCGCGGGACAAGTTAAACTCGCAATTTTTCTTCAGTTTTTGACGTCCAACGTCCATTTCGTGCGAAAGGGTTGCCGCGGGACAAGTTAAATCGCAATTTTTAGTTCAGTTTTTGACGTCCAACGTCCATTTCGTGCGAAAGGGTTGCGCGCGACACCTCAAACTCGCAATTTTTCCTCAGTTTTTGACGTCCAACGTCCATTTCGTGCGAAAGGGTCGCGATGGACGGGTTAAACTCGCAATTTTTCCTCAGTTTTTGACGTCCAACGTCCATTTCGTGCGAAAGGGTTGCAAAGTGAGATCTGCAGGTGTGAGGGTGTGAAGATGTAGATCTGCAAGTGTGAGGGTGTCAGGGTGTGAAGATGTAGATCTGCAAGTGTGAGGGTGTCAGGGTGTGAAGATGTAGATCTGCAGATGTGAAGGTGTTAAGATCTAGATCTGCAGGTGTGAGGGTGTGAAGATGTAGATCTGCAGATGTGAGGGTGTGAAGATGTAGATCAGCAGGTGTGAGGGTGTGAAGATGTAGATCAGCAGATGTGAAAGTGTGAAGATGTAGATCTGCAGATGTGAAGGTGTGAAGATCTAGATCTGCAGGTGTGAGGGTGTGAAGATGTAGATCTGCAGATGTGAGGGTGTGAAGATGTAGATCAGCAGATGTGAGGGTGTGAAGATGTAGATCAGCAGATGTGTAGATCAGCAGGTGTCAAGGTGTGAAGATGTAGTATGACGGCTGCTTTTTGACGAAGAACCCTTCGCAGGCGCTCTCGGGAATAAATTTGATTAAAACCCACTTTCGACGCACCCAACCTCCCTTGCTGGCGCCAAGACTTTCGCTAACTCCTCACGCAGCTGTGCTACTGCCACCCATGTGTCATCGGCTCGTGTCTGCACACCAGCCGCAGCAGCCAGGGCGCGAAGCTCATCTCTGAATATTCGCGACAGAGCACTACGGAGCCACTCAACACCTTGTGAAGCAGCTCCTTCGCGAAGTTCTTCCAATTTGGCAGCCCAGCGATCATCCACCTACAGCATCCAACACAGTGCCACCACAAAAAACAACAAAATCTTACAAGACGGCACCATGCGACGAACATACAACTTCTAACAAAAATATATATTGGATTAAAACCCACTTTTGACGCACCCAACCTCCCTTGCTGGCACCAAGACTTTCTCCAACCCGTGGCGCAGCTCTTCCACAGTGAGCCATTTCCCACCGGCTCGTGTCTCCACACCACCCGCAACAGCCAGGGCGCGAAGCTCACCGCTTAATATTTGCCGCAGTGAAACAGCTCCTTCGCGAAGTTCTTCCAATTTGGCAGCCGCAACTTCCTACAGGCCAACAGCATGCAACACACCGCAACCACAAAAAAAAACATCTTACAAGACCGCACCATGCGACGAACATACAACTTCTAACAAAAATATAAATTTGATTAAAACCCACTTTCGACGCACCCAACCTCCCTTGCTGGCGCCAAGACTTTCGCTAACTCCTCACGCAGCTGTGCTACTGTCACCCATGTGTCATCCGCTCGTGTCTGCACACCAGCCGCAGCAGCCAGAGAGCGAAGCTCATCTCTGAGTATTCGCGACAGAGCACTGCGGAGCCACTCAACACCTTGTGCACCAGCTCCTTCGCGAAGTTCTTCCAGTTTGGCAGCCGCAACTCCCTACAGGCCAACAGCATGCAACACACCGCAACCACAAAACAGCACTCATCCGACAACATTGAACCATGTAACAAACATGCAACTTTCCTCATAACCCTTTTCCGCCGCACCCGACCTGCATTGAGGGTGCCAAGACTTCCAACAATCGAGCACGCAGCTCACCAACCGCGAGCCACTTCTTGTCCGGTCCACGGCCAACATTCCGAGCACCTGCCATTTTGCGAAGCTCCATTGCAGAAATTTCTTCCAGGGCCCCTCGGAGCCAATCACGGCCCCTGGTCACAGCATTGCTACGCAGCTCCTGCAAACGGATTTCCACGGCATTGGAAGACGCAGTGGCCTGCTCCATTCGCACGGACAATTCCTTCAGCAAACGAAACAGTGACCACAATGCGGGTACGCCACTTGAACCAAACATTTTGCATGCAGATAATGTTCACTAGCAAGCATGTTCACCGTCAATCTCTCTCATTTCCATGTTGTCCACCAAGAACGAAAGACGCAACACAAACAAAGTTCCAAAAATGTACATCGGGACTGCCATCATCACCCTCACTGCAACTAAAGCAACCGAGCTCCACACCTTGCCAGCGCGGGTGCTATCAATCATCCATCCTCAGCCGATGCCCAACAGTTCTGTATTATCATGCTAAACACAAATCAATCCTTGCAGTCACAATCTCCAAAGAATCAATGCAAGACCTCATCCACAGAAAAAAAAGATACCGTGAGTATTACTTTCAAGGCATCACTTCAGGCTCCGACCAAACGATTCCTTTGTAGAAAATGTCGTTGAATGCCGCTCGCACAGACTTGTGCGGTAAAACTCCATGCTTGATTTGGAACAACCAGAAAACACAACCACGAAAGAATGAATGCAACACCATGTCCACGGAGACGGAACACAGACACTTTTACGCACAAACCATGTTACACACAGAAGCTTTTACACACAGACGCTTTTACACACAGACGCTTTTGCACACAGACGCTTTTACGCACGGACCCTTTTACACACAGAAACTTTTACACACAAGAGCTTTTACCCACAGACGCTTTTTCACACAGACGCTTTTACACACAGACGCTTTCACACACAGACGCTTTTACACACAGACCCTTTTACACACAGAAGCTTTTACACACAAGAGCTTTTACACACAGAAGCTTTTACACACGGACGCTTTTACACACAAACGCTTTTACACACAGACGCTTTTACACACAGACGCTTTTACCCACAGACGCTTTTACGCACAGACCCTTTTACACAGAGAAGCTTTTACACACAAGAACTTTTACACACAGACGCTTTTACACACAGACGCTTTCACACGTTGTGCAGTTTTTACACACCGCTTTCACACACAGAAACTTTTTACAAACAGAAACGCCTTTTACACACGGACGCTTTTACACACGGACGCTTTTACACACAGACGCTTTCACACACAGACGCTTTCACACACAGACGCTTTTACACACAGACCCTTTTACACACAGACGCTTTTACACACAAAAGCTTTTACACACAGACGCTTTTACACACGGACGCTTTTACACACAAACGCTTTTACACACAGACGCTTTTACACACAAACGCTTTTACCCACAGAGGCTTTTACACACAGACGCTTTTGCACACAGACGCTTTTACGCACGGACCCTCTTACACACAGAAGCTTTACACACAAGAGCTTTTACACACAGACGCTTTTGCACACAGACGCTTTTACGCACGGACCCTCTTACACACAGAAGCTTTACACACAAGAGCTTTTACACACAGACGCTTTTACACACAAGAGCTTCTGTGTGTCCATTTCGTGCGAAAGGGTTGCCGCGGGACAAGTTAAACTCGCAATTTTTCTTCAGTTTTTGACGTCCAACGTCCATTTCGTGCGAAAGGGTTGCCGCGGGACAAGTTAAATCGCAATTTTTAGTTCAGTTTTTGACGTCCAACGTCCATTTCGTGCGAAAGGGTTGCGCGCGACACCTCAAACTCGCAATTTTTCCTCAGTTTTTGACGTCCAACGTCCATTTCGTGCGAAAGGGTCGCGATGGACGGGTTAAACTCGCAATTTTTCCTCAGTTTTTGACGTCCAACGTCCATTTCGTGCGAAAGGGTCGCGATGGACGGGTTAAACTCGCAATTTTTCCTCAGTTTTTGACGTCCAACGTCCATTTCGTGCGAAAGAAAGGGTTGCGCGCGACACCTCAAACTCGCAATTTTTCTTCAATTTTTGACGTCCAACGTCCATTTCGTGCGAAAGGGTTGCTGCGGGACAAGTTAAATCGCAATTTTTCTTCAGTTTTTGACGTCCAACGTCCATTTCGTGCTAAAGGGTTTCGTTTCGTGGCGCTCCGGCGGCACCGCCCCCGCCTTAAGAGAGAATAGAAAGAAGAGCGAGAGGAGATCTGCAGATGTGAAGGTGTGAAGAGGTAGATCTGCAGATGTGAAGGTGTGAAGATCTAGATCTGCAGGTGTGAGAGATCTGCAAGTGTGAAGGTGTGAAGATCTAGATCTGCAGGTGTGAGGGTGTGAAGATGTAGATCAGCAGATGTGAGGGTGTGAAGATGTAGATCAGCAGATGTGAGGGTGTGAAGATGTAGATCAGCAGATGTGAGGGTGTGAAGATGTAGATCAGCAGATGTGAGGGTGTGAAGATGTACATCAGCAGATGTGAGGGTGTGAAGATGTAGATCAGCAGATGTGAAGGTGTGAAGATCTAGATCAGCAGGTGTGAGGGTGTGAAGATGTAGATCAGCAGATGTGAGGGTGTGAAGATGTAGATCAGCAGGTGTGAGGGTGTGGAGATGTAGATCAGCAGATGTGAGGGTGTGAAGATGTAGTATAACGGCTGCTTTTTTACGAAGAACCCTTCGCAGGCGCTCTCGGGAAAAATGAATTTCATTGCCTGGGCTGGATTGATAACAGTGGTGGCCGCCCATGTAGAAGATCCTGTGACCCCTGCTCCCGCTCACTATGGTACTTTCCTCCTCAATCATGTTTTCCTCCTGGAGATTCCTCCTGTGACTTTTTCTTGGGTTGTGAGCCAAGGGTTAGTGACATTGTGACTGGTGACTAACTAGCGGTGTTAGCAGCAGAAACAAGGCAGCCCCCTTGAAGTTGAACACAGGCGCACGCACACACTGCTGAATTGGGTTTGAAATGGACCGTCATGTGAATGATCTCGTTCTCGCCTTGAATTCCTTAGTAACCTGGCCAACACTGCTGATAGAAATTGCACCCTACTCTACCAAACCGCTGTAACACAGGAGAGCTTCCAAAGTAGCTCGGTACTATGCTAGCACAATGCATAAAAACCGCTAAAAATTATAGCACAATGCCATGCCGATGCAACACATGAAGACTCCCGAATCAGCTCGATGCCATGCAAGTACAATACATTTGTTTTTTTTTAAAGTATGGCTCAGTGCCATGCCGATGCAACATATGAAGGCTCCCGAATCAGCTCAATGCTATGCAAGTACACGATGTGAAAATTTCCAAACTATAGCTCAGTGCCACGCCAATGCAACATGAAAGATCCCCAAACAGCTCGGTGCCATGCCAGCGCAACACATGAAGGTTCCCAAATGAGCTCGGTGCCATGCCAGCGCAACACGTGAAGGTTCCCAAATGAGCTCAGTGCCATGCCAGCGCAATACATGAAGGCTCCCGAACAAGCTCGATGCCATGTCAGCGCAATACATGAAGGCTCCCGAACGAGCTCAGAAACTCAAAAACTGCCAGTGCAAGCAATAGAGGAGACAGTACGAAATGTGAAATTCTTAAAGCAAACAGCGTCAGAGAGGAACAGAAATCAACAGTTCGATTCGCAGGTACGTGCAGTTGATCAGACTGCATATCCTCTCCAAACATCAGTAGCTTCGTTGGCCACGGACTGATGAATGGAGCCGTGGCCCCCTGCTCTGCTTTCACTTCAAGGGTTAAAGTACGTATGTATATGAGTTTGTGCCTGCATGTGATAGCAGGATTCACACACACACACAGGGCCCGATAGGGCCATTAAGTAGGACGAAACAAGCAACTTTTGGAGTTTTGGAGTTCTAAGCAGGATCATGTCTTTACTTATTTGAAGTGCCAAGCTTGAGCTGAAACCAAATGGTCACAACATGTTTGGTGCAATTTCAACTGTGCAATTCTGATGCTTTCAGGAGCAGTCTGTCATGTACATGTTCTTGTCAGGGAAATTTATGATCATGAAGAAGAAGCACCAATGTCAACGGAGGAAGGAAAGAGTATCAATCCACTAAGGCTAAGACGAACTGCGGACTGAGATCGCTACCCACATTGTCACTCTAAGGGGTTGACAACAAAAGTGCATGTGAGCGAAAAGTATGTCCAATTTGTCACAACATCTCACCTATTGGTAAAACACTATACTCGCCACTTTTGGTAGCTTGAAATGAGAGATCAAAACGACAAAGCTAAAAGTGAATACCCGGATTTTGCGAGGGGATCAAACTGTGAACATCACTTCAAGAAGTTAATCGCCAAACAAACATCACATTGATTCAATTTGCCATTCCTGTTTCACACCCACTGATAACATAATCACCGCGAACGGCTCTATCACTCTGTACTGTTGATATGACAGCCACATCTTCCGCTCACAAAATCGCAACAGAAATGCAAGGGCACATGGTGAATATATCATTTTGGCGCTGCGCTCACAAATTAATCTAAACATATCTAAATATACACGGCTATGCCCTTGACTTGCGCTAACTGGGATCTGAAAATCCAGCGCCGATCAGAAGCATTATGACAAGCATCCCAAAAGAGACTTGCGGCATGATCCGCACAAACGCCTCCCGCATGTATGGTGCAGTGCTGGTGCTGTCGCGAATATGCAACTCCAAAAATACTGGTGGGGCGAGTTGCGTCTGAGAAATGTGAATATGCCATTGCCTTTCGGAATGTTTCTTTCAGTGATCGTTTGACATCTTCTTCACGGTCACTGTTACTCATGCTCCCCCTGGAATAGAAACCAGGAACTGGCAACCATTGAGCTTGATGTTCGGCAGCAGCTGAAGGTCGAATATACCCGTCCCGTAGAATGGCACAGGCAGTCAAAATACTACTATTGTGTGCAAAGGTAAAAACAGAGGGAAAATAGGGAGCATCACCAACTGTCTTGAAGGTAGGAATGTCCAAATGGAGAATCACAGCTCCTTTGAACTTTGTGGTCGTAGAGTCCGCTGAATGTGAAAGCTGAATAAATTCTGCTTTCTGAAACTTCTCAATCAAAGTTGGAAAAGAATTCATCGTTTTGCTAAGCACAAAACATGCCTCCTTGAGAGTATGAAAGTCACCAGGAAATGTTGAACGAATTTGATCTGCCAAGAAGTCCCCAAAAGGCGTAGCCTGGATGGTAATCTCCGGTTCCAATATAAACCACCGCTTGCGAGTATAATATTCTGGATTTGGGGCGTACTTCTGTGATGTTTCCACTACCCGACCAAGTTCCAAAGCATTCGCAAGTCTCTCAGAAACTTGAAACAAGTCTGCATGTAACCGTTCATTGAGTAAATAATATACTTCTTCCCATACGCACTGCTGAAAATTTCCGCGGGTCAGAGGCTGAAGGGCATCACAGAAGAAGCCAGCAAGTATTGGTGTAACAAAACACTGTCGACACAATGGGTGTCCAACTTCCAAGACTCGTTCTATGCCGTCTTTCCAGCGAAAATCATTCACCGTCATGTCTGTCAGTCTTTGAATCGTTGTGTATTCAGTGTATTTGATCTTTCCATGGAAATCATGTGTCTGAACTCTTGCACCATGTAAACGAGGTTTATACTTGGCAGGCTGGCTTTGAGGCGCAGACGAGTTCAAATCTGAGGCAGCTGCGGTTCCAACACCTTCTGAGGTTAAGACTGCATCATGGCCACTCCCTCTTGCGACCGATTGAGAAGCACTTCCAACTTTGTTAGGTTCTGCCACTGTGAAGGGGGCTAACATTTCGGGCATCATGAGGTTGGGAACGGGCATCACAGAGGGAAAAATAGGTTGATATGCCGTTTGAGCTATCTGGGTCAAAGCGAGTTGTGCTTCCACTTGACTTAGACGATCCATCATCTGAGTAAGTTGTTGAAGACCCTGTGCATCCGAGACTTCAAGCCGGTATTCACCCAGCTGTCCCCGCACACTCAAACTCGCTATTGGTCTAGGTGGTGAATTGACTGTGGGACTCACATGAACCTGGGGTTGAACCTGCGCAGGTGGTGGAGGCAATGGTGGTAACCAAGACATCGTGAAAGGACCGCGTTGTCGTTGACCATCATATTGAGGAGGCGGACCCCCAGCACTTTTTGACGGCATGGCTATAGCAGCTATAGAAACAGTGGTTTGCCAGCATCAAGTAACACATAATAACAAATTAACACATAGTAACAAATTGCAAATATCAAGTGATACAAAACATTTTTGCGCGCATCAAGGTGCACATAACAAAATTCAGAAATTTCTCGGAACAGCCCATCATGTTCTGCACATGCGTTATCATGAAGGTCATACATGCACGATTTATCGAATACCCAAGCTTGATGCCTCACACAAGCATGCAGAATTCAAACTCCGAACTTCCCACGGAATGATGTAATGCAAAGAGAAGCACTGGTTTGGTTATTTAGACCAAAGGAACACACACTGACACACACATGCACACACATACAACCAAGTCTTTGCATGGTGGACTGAGTACCGCAACATCCATGTATCAGTTAGTCTTCGCCTTAAGGCTCCTTCACCGCTAGGCGTCCTTCATCTCTAGGCGTCCTTCACCGCTAGGCGTCCTTTTGAGTGCCGCTAGGCTGTTCTTCGCCCATTTGGGCTCCTACTGTCATCTACATGACAGTCATCCTACACGACACGCTAATGTGTCGCGAGATAATCCTTGAGCTGGGACGAATCCCTGCGATGGTGTCGGCATAATCTGCCGTGCACCCAGTACACACTGCTGAATTGGGTTTGAAATGGACCGTCATGTGAATGATCTCGTTCTCGCCTTGAATTCCTTAGTAACCTGGCCAACACTGCTGATAGAAATTGCACCCTACTCTACCAAACCGCTGTAACACAGGAGAGCTTCCAAAGTAGCTCGATACTATGCTAGCACAATGCATAAAAACCGCTAAAAATTATAGCACAATGCCATGCCGATGCAACACATGAAGACTCCCGAATCAGCTCGATGCCATGCAAGTACAATACATTTGTTTTTTTTTAAAGTATGGCTCAGTGCCATGCCGATGCAACATATGAAGGCTCCCGAATCAGCTCAATGCTATGCAAGTACACGATGTGAAAATTTCCATGAAAATTTCCAAACTATAGCTCAGTGCCACGCCAATGCAACATGAAAGATCCCCAAACAGCTCGGTGCCATGCCAGCGCAACACATGAAGGTTCCCAAATGAGCTCGGTGCCATGCCAGCGCAACACGTGAAGGTTCCCAAATGAGCTCAGTGCCATGCCAGCGCAATACATGAAGGCTCCCGAACAAGCTCGATGCCATGTCAGCGCAATACATGAAGGCTCCCGAACGAGCTCAGAAACTCAAAAACTGCCAGTGCAAGCAATAGAGGAGACAGTACGAAATGTGAAATTCTTTCTTAAAGCAAACAGCGTCATAGAGGAACAGAAATCAACAGTTCGATTCGCAGGTACGTGCAGTTGATCAGACTGCATATCCTCTCCAAACATCAGTAGCTTCGTTGGCCACGGACTGATGAATGGAGCCGTGGCCCCCTGCTCTGCTTTCACTTCAAGGGTTAAAGTACGTATGTATATGAGTTTGTGCCTGCATGTGATAGCAGGATACACACACACAGTAGCATGATTGCTGTGCTAGACTGGCTATGCTGCTAGATTGTCAAGCTTCTGCGGCTATAATAAGAAGGACAGTGTTTGAATCTGAGACTCTAGGACTCTAGGAGATTCTGGTCGCATGCATGCAGTTGAAGCATGTCAAACTTGGAACGGCCGGCTTTGCAGCTGTGCAAGCGAGCAGTTGGCATGTGTGCTTCTTTTGCCCAAGTCAATCGCAGTTTTGCTGGTAGTTTAGGCCTGCGCTTGCAATCATCAAACATGTCAGGGTCAGAAGAGGCCTGACTTGAGAGGATACGGTCTTTGGAGCAAGAAGTTAAAGATTTGCAGGCCCGCTTGGAAAGCATCCAAGCCCATCTCTTGCTGCATCAAATATCTGTTGCAGTAGCTTTTGAGCAATTGCAACCACGATCCTCTCGCTCAAGAACGCCTCGCCGCCACGGAAAGAGAAGATTTCAGACTAGCGTGTGCGAGGCTGAAGCCGGTGGCCCCTGAGCACAGAGGGATGGACGCTAGCAGGCGATGCGGTGGATGGATGGACAAGCAGTGTGCTCAGCTGAGGCGGGCAGTGGCAGACAGTTTTGGCACATACCATCGCTATGAGGTGCTGGCGCCATCACTGATGCATTGGAGTTTCAAAGAAAGGCCACTGCATTTAGTGACTAGTGCTGGTGCCAGCACACCATGGGTGTGATACTGAGATTGGATCGATGACATGCTTGGGCTTTTCAGTGATGCAGAGGCTGCTTCTTTTACATCACAATGAGCAGCCATTGAATTGCCGCATGGTGCCAGCAAGCAGCAAGCACAGCACCAGTTTGATCCTACCGTGGGCTCTGATGGCTTGCGCCATGCAAGCAATGCGCATGGCTTGATGTGACTTTTAGATGGTGTAGCGCCGTGCGCAAAGTGAGTTGAGTGCAGTGTTGGATTGACAGCTGGATTTGCTTCTGGGGCTGATAGTGCCTTCAACCTCAATACCGTTGGAATTGAAGACATAGTCGGCCCTAGTGGCGGTTGGGGTGGTGGGTTGGGAGCAGGCTTCTTTGAAGCTTGCCTGAAGAATGGAGGCCAGCACTTCTTGCTTCTGTTCGAAAAAGGTCCACCAGTGGCACAAGCACATGTGCCCGAGTTGGACCAGATGCACCCGTAGGTTTTGGCGATCCACGAACAATTCCACAGGCCCAACACCACCACCACCATCATTCGACCCTTCATGCCTTCTGGTTGGTCCTGCCACCGTCAATCCTTGGCTCACCGACCACATGCCACCCACCTTAGCCGTCCGAGCCTTCAACATATGGCCCAAAGACCTCCCAATATCAGAACCGAAACGCAAGGTTCTTACCGAGAACATGACCAAGACGGAGACTTGGTGGTCACGCCAACCGGCTGAAGCTCTTGAAACCGTCGAACGTGTGGCAGTCATGATGGGCATCCCAGTCAGTTTGCTTGGCAAAAAATATGAGATACTAAATCTCCTTCGTGCCATGACAGCCGCCATCAGCCTCACAAATTGACTAGCTCCTCAGCTTTGACGAAAGCTAAAGCACAAGGTGCTTCAATCCCATTTGCAAATTCTCCACTCGATGATTCTGATCATCTATATTATGACACCCTTCACTATGACTTACAGCCTTCATCTTTTTCAAGGATTTCGCATCATCCAAACACGAATGATGGTGCTCGCCGTAATCCATGGTCTCCGACCCAGTCAGAAGCTGAAGTCAATTTTGGAAGGATGTAATGTACCAATCTCACCCATCTCTGGGGATCAACACTCCACGCCCACAACCTTTTCTCCAAACCATTTTTCCAATCCCAGAGCGTTTACAATCGTTTCACTCACATCATGAACATGCAACCCAAATTTTATGTTGGGTCTGCCATGCACCACACCCTTGATCGGGAGTACAGTTGTTCCAGAAAATTTCTTCAACTCAACAACGAACGACTTGTACAAGCTGAACTTGCTCTTCGCTACTGGCAAGAGCATGACAACCTATATATCGGGGCTCCCATTCCCATTTGCACGGAACGCTCTGACTACCGATGCCTTGAACTCGCCCTCATCCTCGGTTGAACTACCGATTCATTTGCCAATTTTTCCATCCCAGAAAGGGCATTCTCAAAAAACTTGCTCTGAATACGAATGCCCAGTTCGGCCTGGCAACCTTGTGGCGTCGAGCCAAGCACAAGTTCACTCCACAACTAGCCAAAGACATCTTGGCATCGGAACGCTTCCAAAACCGTTTGGAGCTATGGACAATAATCCACGCTTTAGGTTCAAATACCAAAGCACTCCCAAAGCACTCTCCGACGTCTAGCCAACAACATCCAGGAGCCATTTCGCACACTGTCTCTTCAAGCAATCGACACCTCAATCACCTGGTTGGAAGGAAAACCTGCACCACGTGCATCGGCCTTGCGCTCACCTTGGTCTCTCACTCCAAATCTTCAACGCCAATTGAAGCAATTCCTTCGGAAGTGGCACCTCCAGGTACTTCCGTACCAAGTCCCATGCCACAACCCATCCTTCAAAATGGTCTTCATCAAACATGCAGCTGTACTCGACCAACTATGCAACCACAAACAAGCTATCACCGATTGGTCGAGCGGTCAAAAAGCCATATGCTGCTGCAAACACTGGCTGAAATTCAAGACAGCAGCTCTCAACCCATCCGACCCACACTGGGTTTTAGCAGGATCCCTCCTTCACTCGCTACTCCCAGCTGACCTTTCAGTCATCGCTGAAGGATCCTTACTGAACAAGGTATTCCCATCCAAAAAGGAGTACCACACTCAGCCCAAGACAGGTTTGCACAGTTGGACAAAACGTAATGGCCTCCCATCAATGCCAAATCAGGACATTTCCGATTTGTGCCACAAAATGTGGACTGAACACTCCAAGAACGTCACTTGTCACATCACAAAATCCTCCATCACCGCCTTCCAACAGACATTTGATGGCGCGATCTTTCATTGTGAAGACAAACAGGCCTCATCCCTCCCTCTACTACCAGGCCATTGACAGCACCTTCCAAGATCCGTCCATCTTCGAACCAGTTTCTCAAGATCCAGCGACGAGTGTCACATCTCTTGTCGACCTCCTTCAGCAACAACAACAACAACAACAACAACAACAACAACAACAACAACAACAACAACACAGCAGGTCATATCCATGGGCCGTCGGTCCCGGACGACAACTCCCAGCGGGGTACATTCTGGCCAAACGAAAGAAGGCGTTCCAAAGCGGGCGACCCATCATCTCTTTTGTTGATTCTCCTTTTCGCCCTATGCTCAACATCCTGGCCAGAACGATCTTTCAACTTATCCCAGTGGCCTGTCCAAACCACTTTGCCTCTGGGGATGTTTACACACTTCTTGAGATCCCTCGATCTGCGCCAGTCGACGCCAATTTAATCTTGATCAATCAAGATCTAGCTGGACTCTTCACCAGCATTGATCAAGACCGCTTCATTGGAGCCTGGCTCATGCTCCTGGACTTCCTCCGACCCAAAATGGATGTCTCAGACCACGAGGTCTTCTCAATCTATCTGGCAAATCCAACAACCCGGGTGACATCATCAAGGGCCGCACATTCCGTCGACTGAACGTTACCAGAAAGATTACCATCAAAGATGTCCCCGGGTTACAACAGGGCACTCAACATGCAAACGTTCGCCTTGGGCCAGCGTTGCATTCGTCAATGCCGAGGTAGCCCCATGGGAAGTCCTCTATCGCCAGCCCTTTGCCTTATGGTTGTTTCTATTAGTGAACAGATCTGGTCCATCAACTGCAAACAAATCCTTACCAACCATCACTTATTCATCAAACATATCCGATACGTTGACAATCAACTTATTTTCGGAGACTCTCAACTTCGGCAACTTCCTCCATACGAGGTCCTTCTTGACGAAGGCTTCTATGGAAAACCGAAAACCCATCATCCTTGAAACTGAACCAGACCAGGAATTTCTCGGCTTTATGTTGGAAACTCAACCTTTGGAACTCATCTACACAGGTCCAACCAACATTTCCCAAGTCCTGTCACCATACTCAGCCTCACCACCGAAAGTTCTTCTCAGCGGTTTTCGATCCCGTTGTCACATTGTGGTCAAGGGTGCTTTTCCAGAATATCGTGTTCGACAAGGTCTTGATCAATTAATTCATCTTTACACGTTGGCAGGGTTTCCCAATGAGGAACTCCAAACCATTTCATCTCAGATCAGATTTTGACTCAGCATCAGAACCTTCAGCCGCAGGAAAATAATTCATCATTGTTCCGACTGTTAATTTCTTGCCACTTAGGTCTTGTTTTTTTAAGTTTCGCCTTGTCATGTCATGTTCTAACCTTTACATTTTGGCTTTAGTTTGGCTCAAAGTCGGATCCCAATTTCACATCCGTTTCCAGTCATTGTCCAGTGGAATAGCAAACCATGGAAAACTCCCATGGCCGTGAAATCCACTACCATTTACCCGGGCTCTCATGCATATGAATTATATCGCCGGATATCTCCTTTCTTTGAACCATCCGTCGATTGGGACGACCAACCTCAAGACCACTATGGTCGTACCAACAGGGCACACCCACATCCTCGTCATCTCCACACCTTTGTGCCCCTTCCGTCGTCCTCATCAGTTCCCACTCTCGCCTCTCATGGAGGCATACCTTACCTTCTCATATGGCACTCAATCCAGAACCCAATCTACGTCCTCTTTCAATCCGTCGGGACGCCAACCTCTCATCAGACCATCATCCAGGCAACTACCCACCACAGGCAGGTCACACCTCCTCGTCAAGTACACGAACACCTGCCTCAGAAGCCTTCCACCACACCATAACTCGTGATCCTGATGGCGAAGTATCACGTCCTAAGACAAAATCGACTACTACAGAGGACTCTCGTCTCGTCCAAGGAAAACTGCGATCGACTGTCACTACAACTGTATCCTCGAGACCTCCACCTTCTTTACCGGTCATCCGTGACATTCCACCAGAAGGTTTCAATTCAGATGAATCTGAGGATGCCAATGACAGGGACCATTCCCCGTCCAATTCAGCTCGTGCTACGGCAATATCAGTCACAAATCCCACTGCACCTGTGAACCATCGCCGCAACCTCCAAACCCGGCACCAAACCCTCCTCCGATTGCAGCCAAGTCCAGTTCCAAAGCCATCACAATCAAAATTCCTTCCATCAGCCAATATCCGACCCTGGACAGATGCTGAAGATCACGAACTCTGCACCATGAAGAATGACAGCAAATCCCGCCCTTCGTGGAAGACGATCGGTCTCAGACTTCGTCGCGATCCAGAGGTGTGTAGAATCCGCTGTGGCCTTCTCAAACAAATGCCTGAACACATGGCCCCCAATGAACCAGAGGCAGAAGACTAAAAGCCCAGGCATAAAAAAGTGCTACTTGCGCTGCCTTTTCAGTGTCGAGTTCAATGTTTCTTCTTTCTTTGTTCATTTGGGTTTTGTTGGCTTTTTAGTTGCTTCTTGCTTTTCAGCATGGCTCAACCGCTTAGCTATACTTCCATGACTCACGAACGTTCTCGCTCCCGTGATGATCCTCCCATGTGGGGCCACCCAAACCTGGATGGACCTCATGACCCAACACATCAGAGGTCCTGGAACTATACTCCGGCACTACGCCGGACGAGACGGGTCTTGATCATCATAGATCTCGATCAAATCCAACACCTGATGACTGAACACCGAAGCGACGTGATGCAAGTTACCACTTGCGAACACCTCCCTAACCTTTCTCAAAGTGAGCAAATGGCATTGTTCACTTATTGCCCTGTTGACCCCTGGTCAAATTCAAATTATGTCGGTCGACAATATCCTCCACTACATCAGCCAGCACATCAACAATACCTGGGGGACATATCTTGAACCAACCTCCATGGATCTTCGATGGAGTGATTGCACTGGCGATACGTTTGCACTTCGTTCTCATCAAACCATCATTCGCCTTCGAAGGATCTACGTGAACATCGTCCACACTGGACCGAGGCTCCGGAAGTAGGTATCTTCAATAGATTGGTTGACTTCACCAGTCCAGGTCAACCCTTATATCATGCGTCTCAGCTGTCGCAACGCATTGCCTAATCCGAACATGCTACCGTGGTCGCTGACAGTTTTAAAACTTGTGTGCTGCATCAATTTCATTTGTTAATTTGTTCATCCCCTTGGCCTTTTTGGCCCTCACTGGTTTTGTCCAATTTTTGGCTGCTCCTCTCAACTTCGTACAATTTTGGCTCCAGCCCGAAATATGACTAAGAGGGATTCCTCCTTTGCTGACTTAGATTCCCCACGGAACCTCAGATTCGATTCTTGGTCACGGCCCATGAGCACTTATCGCCATCGCCATGCTTCGGAAGCCGCATCTTCGTCGGCTGCTGATTCCTCCTTGCGCCAGGGGCTTCGTCTACCCTACCGGGCACATCAGCAGCACAGGGCTTCTTCCCACCAGCTCCATTTGGCTACTCCTCATCGGCACCAGCTATTCCAATGCCAATCTCCACTCCGACCTGGCATCAACAAGAAGCATATCCACTTCAATCAGAGATGTCTCAGCACCACAGGGTACTCCATACCCATATCTTCAAAGAAGTCATTACATACCAAACTGAAACTCCAGTGCGCAGGTTGATGGTCACGGAAGTCGACAATCATGGTACTGAACGAAATCATCAACCGGAATTTTTCTTCAATGGAATCATTGGTCATGTTCGACCCCAGGGAGGCGGCTACATAGATAGCTGGGCTGAAGCCACCCGCCTATCAAATTACTGGCGCCGTTTTTACAACATTGATCAGGTCCATGAGGATCACACCGCCTGGTATCCACAAGAACACCAATATCATGGACCGTCTGACAATGCTGCCTTAGGTGATGATGATGCAGCAATCTCAGACCTAGCAGACGATACTTCCGTGGCAGTTGAAACAGGCCATATGCCTGTTCCAAGTCAGAGCAACCAATTGGCCACTGTCTTGCACAACATCCTGATTGCGGATCTCGAATACAATGCTCCTCATGCCAATATCCGACCCTGGACAGATGCTGAAGATCACGAACTCTGCACCAGGAAGAATGACAGCAAATCCCGCCCTTCGTGGAAGACGATCGGTCTCAGACTTCGTCGCGGTCCAGAGGTGTGTAGAATCCGCTGTGGCCTTCTCAAACAAATGCCTGAACACATGGAAGACTAAAAGCCCAGGCATAAAAAAGTGCTACTTGCGCTGCCTTTTCAGTGTCGAGTTCAATGTTTCTTCTTTCTTTGTTCATTTAGGTTTTGTTGGCTTTTTAGTTGCTTCTTGCTTTTCAGCATGGCTCAATCGTTTAGCTATAGTTGCATGACTCACGAACGTTCTCGCTCCCGTGATGATCCTCCCATGTGGGGCCACCCAAACCTGGATGGACCTCATGGCCCAACACATCAGAGGTCCTGGAACTATACTCCGGCACTACGCCGGACGAGACGGGTCTTGATCATCATAGATCTCGATCAAATCCAACACCTGATGACTGAACACCGAAGCGACGTGATGCAAGTTACCACTTGCGAACACCTCCCTAACCTTTCTCAAAGTGAGCAAATGGCATTGTTCACTTATTGCTTCCTGTTGACCCCTGGTCAAATTCAAATTATGTCGGTCGACAATATCCTCCACTACATCAGCCAGCACATCAACAATACCTGGGGGACATATCTTGAACCAACCTCCATGGATCTTCGATGGAGTGATTGCACTGGCGATACGTTTGCACTTCGTTCTCATCAAACCATCATTCGCCTTCGAAGGATCTACGTGAACATCGTCCACACTGGACCGAGGCTCCGGAAGTAGGTATCTTCAATAGATTGGTTGACTTCACCAGTCCAGGTCAACCCTTATATCATGCGTCTCAGCTGTCACAACGCATTGCCTAATCCGAACATGCTACCGTGGTCGCTGACAGTTTTAAAACTTGTGTGCTGCATCAATTTCATTTGTTAATTTGTTCATCCCCTTGGCCTTTTTGGCCCTCACTGGTTTTGCCAAACTTTTGGCTGCTCCTCTCAACTTCGCACAATTTTGGCTCCAGCCCGAAATATGACTAAGAGGGATTCCTCCTTTGCTGACTTAGATTCCCCACGGAACCTCAGATTCGATTCTTGGTCACAGCCCATGAGCACTTATCGCCATCGCCATGCTTCGGAAGCCGCATCTTCGTCGGCTGCTGATTCCTCCTTGTGCCAGGGGCTTCGTCTATACCGGGCACATCAGCAGCAAAGGGCTTCTACCCACCAGCTCCATTTGGCTACTCCTCATCGGCACCAGCTATTCCAATGCCAATCTCCACTCCGACCTGGCATCAACAAGAAGCATATCCACTTCAATCAGAGATGTCTCAGCACCACAGGGTACTCCATACCCATATCTTCAAAGAAGTCATTACATACCAAACTGAAACTCCAGTGCGCAGGTTGATGGTCACGGAAGTCGACAATCATGGTACTGAACGAAATCATCAACCGGAATTTTTCTTCAATGGAATCATTGGTCATGTTCGACCCCAGGGAGGCGGCTACATAGATAGCTGGGCTGAAGCCACCCGCCTATCAAATTACTGGCGCCGTTTTTACAACATTGATCAGGTCCATGAGGATCACACCGCCTGGTATCCACAAGAACACCAATATCATGGACCGTCTGACAATGCTGCCTTAGGTGATGATGATGCAGCAATCTCAGACCTAGCAGACGATACTTCCGTGGCAGTTGAAACAGGCCACATGCCTGTTCCAAGTCAGAGCAACCAATTGGCCACTGTCTTGTACAACATCCTGATTGCGGATCGTGAATACAATGCTCCGATCCCCGAGAAGATTGAAACCCCTCCAGCGGATCCAAATGCCAATCCGGCTCAGCTCTTCTCGGCAGCAGACTTGGCCCATCTCTCCAGCCATCTTGCCATTACAGCAACCAACCTGGCCCAACATGCTCAACCTGGTGACCTTGAGGATATCTCTGACATCTCGGACTAGGTCTTGGCCATCTTTGACTTCGGCTTTTGACTTCGGATACGTTTCCACCTTTTCTGCAATTCATTTTGTCTCTGGCATTTTGATTCTCAGATCCGAGACCAGTTGACCGTATCAGAGCTTTGTTTCACTTGATCGGTGCGTCTTCCAAAAAAGCCCTGCGGCAGCAGGGCGTGTGTGTGAACCATCTGAATAGATGTAAAACTTCTATTTAGCTTTTCTAGTTTGCAGAGGCAGAGGGGCAGTGAATCTCATTCCATCCACTGCCCAACGAAGACGGTGGTTTGAGGTTGTGATATCTGGACTGATCATCCCGACGTACCTGCAATTTTCCATTTCGTTGTCAATGGCAACCGGCTAAGCCAAAAACCGGCGTGTCGTTTTTCAAACAACTTGCTTTCGATTTCTCAGTTTGCACGGTTTTCGCAATCTGTCAGGGCAGTCAATTTTGCATCTAGCTTGGGCTATGGAAATTCTTTTTGGCTCTTTCTCGAGTCTGTTCATCAACTCATTCCGGTCAGGTACAATTGGAGTGTTTTTGCACGTAAGATGCATTCCACATCAGAATTCGCAAAGATTGTTCTGAGCAAGTGTGTGTTTGTGTCTGTGTGTCTGTGTCTATGTTTGTGTTTGTGCACTGGTGCGGGTCTTGCAATAGCAGTCGAATGCTGTGCCATGTCACGGCGACAGAGAGATGCGAAGAAAAAGAAACGCCAAAGGAATGACATCGATATGTCAAAAGATTTGTTTTTACCAGCGAGCGCTTTCAACATACAGAGAGAAAGAGATGAAAAGTTCAAGAGAAGCCGAAAGAAAGAGATGCTTAGTGACAAGGATGTTGTGAGAAAAAGATGCCAAGAAAAAATCTAACAGAAACGGACAGACACAAAGAGTGGTCAAGGGCAAGAGGACTCAAGAAACAGAGATGATGTCAAGCGAAAGGATGTAAGACCAATGTAAGAGAAAGGATGCCAAGAGAATGGCATTTCAAGATTCCGAACTGTCAAGAGAAAGAGTTGCCAAGAGACAGGGACGTCAAGAGAAAGGGATGCCTAAAAGAAAGGTATGCCAACAAAAAGAGATGTCAAGCGAAAACCGGGTCAAGAGATAGCGGCATCAAGAAAGAGAAAGTGGTATAACATCATGAAGAGTTGCCAAGATGAAGAGATGCCACGGGACAGGGACTTCAAGAGAAAGAGATTTCCAGAGAAAGAGATCTGAAGAAAAAGAGGTGTCAAGATCAAGGGACGCCGTGTCAAGAGAAAGAGCTGCCAAAAATTATTTTTGTCATGAGAAGGGGACGTCCAGAAAACAATGCTGGATTTGTGACGCTTAAGTGTCAAAAGAAAGGGGCCTCAATAGAAAAAGATGTCAAGGGAAGGAGATGTCAAGAGAAAGGCTGTGAAGTGGGACCGGACAGGTCGCGGTCCAAAGCTGTGCCGGTTCCACAACGATGTCTTGAAACACAGCGCGCAAAGCGCTTGGCTTCGAAGCATGCCTCCAGCTGCAGCTCCACTCGGCAAAATCTCGCCCGCACCCCTATAGGAACGGATCCTCCTACTTGAAACTTCTCCCGCCCGCCTTAGGGGGCTCTACTTGTTTAACTTTGTACTTGTTTCGCGCTGAAACATCAATTTGAAGCCGTGAAGATTGAGCGACCGACGCCTCCCAATTGCCGCGCCTGCCACACCTGGAAAATGTTTCCGAAAGTAGGAAGAGGAGGAATCGACAACATCGCATCACATGTCTGATGTATGGAACTCATCCTCATTCGAATTCGCGATTGCTGATTGTGTACCATTCGGGGGCTTTTTGGAAGTCAGTCACCGTGCCCTCGAAACTTCCCGCATCGCTTGCTTTTCCAACCCGAGGAAGACTTTGAGGACGAGACCTTTAGCAATGCCATCGAAAAGTCGGTCTTTTTCATATTGGTGTCATCCACCTACGGTGCAGGCGGCTGCTGACAGTTTCTGCTGCGGCTGCAGGGTTGGTTGTGGACCCAGCCAATGATGATGCTACAACCCTAGCAGTAGCAGACAGACGAGGAGTTTTATTCATAATTAAAGTCATACCAAGGCAAGCCCCAATCTGTCTGTTGCATGTTGTTGCGCGTGCAAAACTTAAAGCAGCGTTCCTCTGAGGACGGTCGAAACCAAATGGGGCGGTTGCTGATTTCTCACATTGTCTTCCTCCCAGGTTTGTCGCTCCCGCTTTGGTGGTTGCGGCATTTCGGTGCTCTTGCCTGCTGCTGCCACCCTGTTTCCAAGCTTTCTGTTGGTGATTTCCGCGTTGGGGTGCTCTTGCCTGATCTCTGCTGCTGCTGCTGCCGCCGCCTTCTTTCCCAGTCCCAAGCAGGAGACAAGAGAGGAGACAAGAGGGGCGACAAGAAGAACAACAAGGGAGACAAGAAGCGGAAGACAGCAGGAAGACAAGAAGGAAAACAAATAGATAATATAGGGACACAAAAAGGGAGACTAGAGGAGACACAAAATGGAAGACAAGAAGGGAGACAAAGGAAGACAAGAAGAGACACCTGAAAGGAGACGAGCCCACTGCGCAAAAGGGCAAATCAGGGCGACGAGCGTCCACAACAGTGGGAAGGCGGCTGCAGCACCCAATAGCAGAGCAGCAAATAAGAGGCACAAGACGGAGATAAGAAGGAGACAAGAAGGAGACTAGAAGGAGACAAGAAGGGGGCAAGAAAGGGACGGACAACGGGGACAAAGCACCAAAAGACGAACGCAGCATCCAAAACCAGGCATGGCCAAGGGGCGCAAGAAGGGAGACGAGCCTCCACAAGGCCGACGCATCATCCGACAGTAAGACAGGCAAAGCCGAGACAAGAATGGAAACAAGCATGGTGACAAGAAACTGGGCACAAACTGCGTGACACGGCGAGGCAGCATCCGACAGCAATCCTGGAAAGAAAAAGAACCAACAACAAGGGAAAAGAGAACGCACAAAGGAAGGATCAAAAAAGCGGGCCAAGAAGGGAGACAACGATGGCGGGTGCGCTGTCGAAAGCATGGAGAACCCACAAGAACAGCAAAACAAAATCCGTGCTTCGGAATTTGGATGAGCCTCTCATGCTTCTTCTTGCAAAGTTTCACAGCGTTTCTGTGATGCTTCACAGGCTCAGCCCCACCAAGTGCTGCAAAATTTTTGGCGTGGCTGCGGAACAACAAGGCCGGCAACTCTGCCGTCGTGGTGGAGAAGAGACGCGTCGATCTGGTCATCGGAAGTTGGGAAGGGTTTGTTTGGCAGTTTCTTCCATTCAGGGCCAATTCGAGGATGTGACTTAATATGAATTAAGCCCAATTACCAGACCCCCCGACCTTGGGAGCTGTTCAGGGAGTTATGTAAAAAGAGGAATGGCGTTGCAGGTCCCTTGGGTTTGTGTTTTGAATCTAAGGAAGCCTTATGGCATAATAGGCCTCGGAGACTCCAGCTATCCACGTTTTTGTGCTGCGGTGGACATCTATGAGACGCTTCTGCTCGACCGCGGCGCAGGTCCCATCGGTTCAAGTTCCATCTCTGATCAAATTTAAAGAGCAAGACGGGATTCTTTTGCTTCTTCTTGTGCATAGAAACGTGATGAAACGATCCCCCCGGCAATATCCCTTACAAAGCAAGGAGCTCGGCTCGGGCTCCCAAAACCACCAAGTTTTGTACAAGCACTTTCCTCTACAAAGCTTGGATCTCATGCTCTGACATTGATGCTAAATTAACAATATTTTCAACATAAATGAATCCTAACTTTGTAGAGGGGCGTTTTTGAGCCTGATGTGAAAATTTGTTAAAAAAAATAATGGCCTATATCCAGCTTTGTAGAGCCAGACCCTTCTGATTTTCAATCATTTTCAAGTTTGTAACCCAAAGAGATTTCATATTCTCATATATTTTCACCGTTTGAAATTTGTAGTGGGAGTTGGTTTGTCTGCAGGAGTAAACAGGTTGAGGTTTGTAAGGTGTAGACTTGTCCTTGTTCCGTAGGTTTGAACTTTGTAACTGCCTGTCACGGTTGCTGTTTTTTTTGCTGTGAGACAAGATTTTTCTCAATGATTTGATGATATATTATGATATTATGACATATTATGACTATGAATGAATGAAAAGAAAAGTGACAAAGTGAGGCAAACAAGTGAGAGATGAGCTGATGCGAGTTGTACAGAAACAATCTGAAACAATTTCAAACCAAAAACTTGGGGGCAAACGCATAAAAGAGACAAAAACATGTGTGCTGCTGCCCGCTGGCGGTGAGATTGGGATAACTTGAAAAATGTGCAAATGTTGTGAAACCACGTGAGCTTTACAAAGCTCCAAAAAAAAAGATTTTTGGGTTTTTGAGCTTCAAGACCTGATGCTAATTTGGCGTCTTTTTTGCAACATAAATTTGCAACATAAATGAATCCTAACTTTGTAAAGCCTCATGCTGTGAAAAAATACCATTCATAGAGCAACCTGGGTCTCGAGCTTTGTAAGGTTATGACCCATGCCTTAAGAAATTACTCCAGGGTATCAACTAGGTTATGGAATAATTTCTTTTGGAATAATTTTCAAGGAATAATTTTTGAGGGGGGTAGGTATATGATTATGCATGTTGGAATTTGAAAATCATGATCCAGCCCGTCAAGATACCCCGGAATAATTAGGTTTTGGAATAATTTTTGGTAACTTAAAACATCTTAAAACATCTTCAAACAGCCTATACGTCCTACATGTGGCCTGGCCTTTCCAAAAGCCATTCCTAGCTTGGCGGTGTTTGCCTGAAAACTTTTTGCTGGAAATGCCAATTGCAGTTATTTAAAGCATCATGCAGTTTGGGCAATTGCTGCCAACTTTTTTTGCAGCGTACTTGCACGCACAACTAGTGTCCCAACGGACCACCTTTCTCTCACGGTACTTTCTCTCGAGAGTTCTTTGGGTGGCAATGAATAGGGAATGTTAGGAAAATACCTAGGAAAGGCCAGGTTGAGTGCCATTGTGTGGGCTTTCCCAAGGGGGGAAATTATTCTAGAGGTATTGGAGATGCCTGGTACCCCTCAAAAACGAAAGTGGACAGCTAATCACCAAATTAGCCCAGAAATTGGCAAGAATTGTCAAAAAACAAATGAAACCCACACATTTCCCACCCATTCCCACTATGGCCAACGGGAGTTTTTTGGAAGGAAATGAAAGGAATATGGAAGAAATAGGGGGGCGTACGCAAAGTTGGGAAAACTTGCAGGAGAGAGCCAGGTTGAGTGCCATTTTGTGGGCTCCCAGGGGAGAAATTATTCTAGGGGTATTGGAGATGCCTGGTACCCCTCAAAAACGAAAGTGGACAGCTAATCACCAAATCAGCCCAGAAACTGGCAAGAATTAGCAAGAAACAAATGAACCCCAAACATTTCCCACTCATTCCCATTATGGCCAACGGGACTTTTTTGGAAGGAAATGAAGGGAATATGGAAGAAGTAGGGGGGCGTACGCAAAGTTAGGAAAACTTGTAGGAGAGAGCCAGGTTGGGTGCCATTTTGTGGGCTTTCCCCAGGGGAGAAATTATTCTAGGGGTATTGGAGATGCCTGGCACCCCTCAAAAACAAAAGGGGGCAGTTGCTACAATCACAAAACAAATCCAGAAATTGGCAAAAAAATAAACCAGTGACAACCAAATATTTTCCTTTTCCCACTCATTCCCACTAAGGCCAGAACCACCAAACTAGCCCAGAAACTGGAAAAACATCCAAAAGCAATTAAAACCATGTTCAACCAGTGGGTTGCTGAGAGGACATTTGTTTAAAGATACTATATGACCCATACCTTAAGAAATTATTCCAGGGTATCAACTAGGTTATGGAACAATTTCTTTTGGAATAATTTTCAAGGAATAATTTTTGAGGGGGGTAGGTATACGATTATGCATGTTGGAATTTGAAAATCATGATCCAGCCCGTCAAGATACCCCGGAATAATTAGGTTTTGGAATAATTTTTGGTAACTTAAAACATCTTAAAACATCTTCAAACAGCCTATACGTCCTACATGTGGTCTGGCCTTTCCAAAAGCCATTCCTAGCTTGGCGGCGTTTGCCTGAAAACTTTTTGCTGGAAATGCCAATTGCAGTTATTTAAAGCATCATGCAGTTTGGGCAATTGCTGCCAACTTTTTTTGCAGCGTACTTGCACGTACAACTAGTGTCCAACGGACCACCTTTCTCTCACGGTACTTTCTCTCGAGAGTTCTGTGGGTGGCAATGAATAGGGAATGTTAGGAAAATACCTAGGAAAAGGCCAGGTTGAGTGCCATTGTGTGGGCTTTCCCAAAAGGGGAAATTATTCGAGGGGTATTGGAGATGCCTGGTACCCCTCAAAAACGAAAGTGGACAGCTAATCACCAAATTAGCCCAGAAATTGGGAAGAATTGTCAAAAAACAGATGAAACCCACACATTTCCCACCCATTCCCACTATGGCCAACGGGAGTTTTTTGGAAGGAAATGAAAGGAATATGGAAGAAATAGGGGGGCGTACGCAAAGTTGGAAAAACTTGCAGGAGAGAGCCAGGTTGAGTGCCATTTTGTGGGCTCCCAGGGGAGAAATTATTCTAGGGGTATTGGAGATGCCTGGTACCCCTCAAAAACAAAAGGGGGCAGTTGCTACAATCACAAAACAAATCCAGAAATTGGCAAAAAAATAAACCAGTGACAACCAAATATTTTCCTTTCCCCACTCATTCCCACTAAGGCCAGAACCACCAAACTAGCCCAGAAACTGGAAAAACATCCAAAAGCAATTAAAACCATGTTCAACCAGTGGGTTGCTGAGAGGACATTTGTTTAAAGATACTATTCTGAATCTTCTTGATCCTATCTGATTATGCTTAGATTTGTGCCCCAGCGCTGCAATAAGGTCGACCGTTTGCGCGCAGCTGCTTACGATTACTTGCGTTTGGCTAGAAATAGACTATACCGGTATCATTTTGATGGAAATTATTCCATTTTTCCATATGGACTCATTGAGTTCTTAGAATAATTTCTTTTTTTGAACTCAACGGATGCCGGAATAATACTTTTATTATTCTGAGGTATGTTGACGGGGGTATCCCCTTAAGGCATCCCTCATGATACTATGCTGACTCTTCTTGATCCTATCTGATTATGTTGAAAATTGTTTAAATTTGTGCCCCAGCTCTGCAAGAAGGGGAACCGTTTTCGGCCGTTTGCGCGCAGCTGCTTACGATTACTTGCGTTTGGCTAGAAATAGACTATACCGGTATCATTTTGATGGAAATTATTCCATTTTTCCATATGGACTCATTGAGTTCTTAGAATATTTTTTTTTTGAACTCAACGGATGCCGGAATAATATTTTTATTATTCTGAGGTATGTTGACGGGGGTATCCCCTTAAGGCATCCCTCATGTAAGGTTTACATTCTATGATGGGTCCCCTGTTTCAAGTTTGCAGAGGCTAAAAATCATTTGTGGTTACAAAGCTCGAGCCCCCAAGTAACCTATGGAATTCACAGGGGGATATGAAACGTGTATCTACAAAGGTTGCGACATGAACACCGGGCCATCAAGCTTGTAAAGCGTTGCGCGATCACACACACAACCCCATTGTGACAGGCCAGATGTGCCATGTCACCCCACAGGTCCGTGCTTGCTTCCATCTGCGAAGTGCAATGCCAAACTCAACGAAGAGATCAGCTTCTGGGATTGGGTCGACGACCTCCTCAGCGA